AATGTGTGTGGAAAGGTTTTATATTATAGATCCGCTTTCTTAATATGTCTATACACATAAATATAATATATACATATATACATACATATATATATATATATATTTGTCTCACATATATAAAGCTGAAACATTTGAAAGTGACGTTCCCGAGTGTAAACCACCCCATGACAAGCCCCATGCACGCGCAGCTGAAGCTCCAACAACCTGGAGTGCTACTTGGTAGTCTTATAAGTTGGTGATGGCTCAATCACAGGATGCTGGGCAAAGCTATGTTGCAGGGCATTTCTGCTCCCTGGTTTTCGCATCGGCTTATCTAGTCTGTCTAATATTGTTTAGGCTCTAACTTTATATAAGATAGTCTAGATGCACATCTTACCCTGATCTCGATTTCTCTATACATACATATATAAATATATATATACATATACACAGATACGTCTATATGTGTCTATCTATCTCTCTCTCTCTCTCTATCTATTTACCTGTATATATATATATATATGTACGTGCATGGGGCTTCAGTGAGCCTTCGCAAACAGAACATAGGAGCTCGTTTGACTGAGGGTCGAATGAGGCGGGACTGTTAAAGTCTGGGTATTTCAATTGCTTTTGCACCTCCGGATGCCTTGAAGTCTATAAACACCTTCAACCTATATAAACCCCCGGCCTACCTAACTAACAGTGAGGAGCCCAAACCGTTAGTCGGCCAGGGCATTGAGAATCACACGTTGTAATGATGTGTATGTATGTACATATATACACATGAAGGCATGTGCCTGAAAATACAGACGCAAGTCTCTTATATGTGTATGTATATTTATGTATATGCAGATATCTTATCACATGTATGTAAGCATGTGTGCCTATATATGTGTATGCATGCATGTCTATGCTTCTATTTTTAGATACGTATATGTATGTCTTCGTGTTTATGGATGTCTGTGGTATGTTCTCTCAACATTATAATAGTGTCTGGTCAAAGCCAAGGCACCAGCAAGCTTCGTGACGGCTCACCAGAGAGCCATGGTCCTGCAAAAGGGCGTGGAAGCCACACGGGAGGAGCTTGGTGGGGAGTTGGGGCTGTCTGAGCAGAACTCTGCCCGACATGTGGGGAAGGTTGTTGCGAAATTTGGCCTTCGACCTTCTATCCCGCTTTCCCATCATACGCTGACGGTTGATGCCGACACCTTCACTCTGCCTTACCTGGCCCCGAAAGACGTCCTTTCCTACCTCCTGAACAACCATTCTGATCTACTGTTGGGAGGGTATGCTGCGTCCGATCCAGCTGCCAACCGTGGACTGGCTATGTTTTGGGGGCGATATCGAAACGTGCATTCTTCGCATGCTGTGTATGGTGCACCTTGTGAGCGCTTGCGATGGACAATACCTCTCAGCCTCCATGGTGATGGTGGTCGCACGCAAAAGAAGCAACTAGGTCCCTATATAGGTAGGTGGTAGATTGGGAAAGTTAAGTTTTCACTTCGTCTATTAGTTAAGGTGCCTATATATATATATACAGATACCTTTAATCGTAAATGCTTTCGTGCAAACATAATTATGTAAGGTCCTAAATGAAAACTACAACCCAGGCAACCCTTGGAAATATTCAGCCTGGAGCCTACCCTCGGCATTGGGCGTGCCGAAGCGATACTTTGCAGGTGTGCAGAACCGGTGCTTCAGACTGGGCAATGCTGCAATGGGAAGCACCACTCTTACTTGACCCGCTTCCTTCTTGCTGCTTTTCCAAGCAAGCAGTGGCCCCAGGAGCTTTTGCCGGACCTTTCCAGAGCTTTGTCAAGCCAGCTTCGTGAGCTTTTTGAGAATGGGCTTGCGCATGTGGTGAATGGCCGGCAGTGCCGGTATTACTTTGCAATTATAGGATTGAAGGGCGACTTCGAGTTCCACTGCAAATCTTTGCGAGACGCCGGCTTGAAAAGGAGCTACGAGCACGTCGGAAGGGCAAAAGACATCGCCGTGTGTATGGAATGCGAGGCTGGGCTTCCAGACAGTCCTA